AACAAAGGATAACTATATCCACCCGGAATCTTACGGTTATAAAGAGCGTATGGTATGGAATTTCGTCATATGGTAAAGATTAAATATAAGGAATAAAACTGATAGCATTTCCGCCTTTTTTCTCTAGCAATTCTTTAAATTCCCGTAATTTACCCATACAAAGAAAGTGTTTTGGAAGTCAAATAATATTCCTAGGTTTTTTATATGATAATCACCGTACACAATTGATTTGGCTGGCTATAGGTTGCCGTCAGGGTATAAAATGATTTTTGATTTTCCAATAATTCACGAAGATCCCATTAGGAGACACGCCTGTCATCTTTTTTTTGCTTCTTCACTATACGACATAAGAAAAGTAAATAAAGATTTGCTCATTTTTTACAATCTATTTGAATATATTATTTATTTACGACAGCGGCAACGACAAGGAGATAGACACATATAGTTGCTTACAGAAAAGAAATGCTATTTAAATAAAGTAATTGCACTTTGGCCCAAATAGTTTAAACGACTTTTTAAATGAGTTCCTCTTTTTAGAACTGCAAAGACTAGCAAACAAGCAAACAAATTCGTTGCATACAAACAAGCCTAACTACATCTGTTTGCGTCTAAATGATAATCGATAAATATATATATATATGTACATATATTATTTTACGATTTTGTAAAATTCTATATATTTGTACTGTATGTATATACACAAATGTGCATATATTTTACTGTGTTTAAAAATAAAATATATTTATTGCAAATAGCTTCGCAGCATCGTTAGATTTGTGCTTAGTAGGGAGATAACCTTTCGCAAATCATTCTCATACCAACCGTAACTTAGAAAATAGAAATTGTTTTATTAGGCATCGGATTGAAAATATATTCAAATCCCACATCTGAAATTCCTTTAGGTAAAACAATTTCTTATTTCAAAAGCAAATGGATATCAATTTTTTTTACGTTACGCTTAACTTTTTTCAATTGCTTCCTTCCGCAGTACAGATAAGCTACTGACTACTTGATTAAACGCAATAATATAATAGTATTTGTCAATGTTAATTACCTACATTGGGAATGCAAAACAAGGCAGGAATAAAGCGAGAAATCATCTTCACTTTTACGCTAACCAAGAATATTTCCCGCCGTAATAAGGATGAGCTCTTAGTTCTTATATGGGCAGGTCAATTGAGAGATCAATATATTTTTTAGTGATGGCTTTAATAGGTATTTTTGTTCTTAAAAATACTCATAATTTCAGATAGATTTCGACTATAGGTTATCTTATCTTCTGGAAAGATATTTATTATTAGCTCCTTTTCTTCTTCTTTTTAATACTAGATTAACGGCACTCGTCCATTTAACGAATTTACAGATTCAATCTGAAAATGCTGCATAAGCAAGTAGATACCTTCAGTTGTTATATAATGATTTTTAATGATTAACCGCAGCAAACATATGCAGTTGCTTGTGACAACTTTCATTTAATATAAGTTTTTCCCACAGGGGACGTTGCGCATGCACTTATTATTTAATCTGTACACTTAAGATGGTTAAGTGAGCGAAAAAAGTGTTTTTTTTAAAGTATCGTTGGGATAAAGGATACAAATCTTGGGTATCCGATATGAATTTTTAAACTGTGGATAAAGTTAATTTTTCTACCCTACGCTACTTGTGGTACAAGGATGTATTAAGTTTAAGCGGGCATAGGCAACACTCGAAACGACTTAAGACAGACTCAGACTTTATTATGTCGGCGAAAGCGATTCCAAATCGATATAAGCTTGTCTGCCCGTCTGCTCGTCGTTTATTCTTGTGCTCAAATTACAATTGGCAAGTTTGACAGAGCGACGTTTTTTGGCCCAAGGACAAAAGCTTTTGAAAATTCACTTGCCATGTAACGTCTCTTTTTGGAAAGTCGATATATGAATTGTGTTAAGCGAAATGTACGATATATAATCGTAAGCAGTATTTTTACTTGCTTTTGATTTATATTTGCTTTCATAATTTTTCGAAAACCGAGTAGGCAGGCTGCTGAGAAATGGCAATGCAGTTATTCATTCGTTTTGGTGATACTACACCAAAAGTTAGAAATTGTTTTCATACACACGCATACTTTCCATGAAAGCCCGAATGTTGAACGAATCCTTATAAGTTGTGGTGTCCAAAAAATAGGTCTATGTCAAGTTATTATTATGAACTAATTTTCGTCATGAAATATTAAAAAATACACCTTTTGCTATAAAAAGATCCAGTTTTCGTAGGAACAGTTGTACGAGAGAGAGTTCAAAAAATTCCCAGAGCAAGTTTTGTTTAGAAATTAGAAAAGGAAGATTGCAACGTTTTTCATATATAGATTTTTATGTGGGGAGTGGCCGCAAAATGGGCCGATCCAAACCATTTTTAATAGCATTCATCTTTGGGTCGAAGCATGTCAGTGTATCATATATCATCGAAATATGTCAAAAATTCGTCCTGCAGCTTGAACAAAAATTTTCGCGAACAGACATCAGACGGACAGAGAGGCACGTGGACGGGCAGGCTTTGATCGATTCAGCATAAGAATAAAATCGAAGATGGGTCTATCTTAAGCCCTTCTGGCTATTATAGACGTTCGCACAAACTTAATAAATCTTGCACTTGAATGTCACAGGCACTGGGAACGGAAAGCGAATGTAATATAATCCTAATTCTGGGTACTCGATGTGAAAATTCAAAAATATTTGTTCTCACTTGTAATTTTCAACGTCATTTGTGTTTTGCTTTAAATGCGAATAATAAAGTCAATGAAATGTTAAAGCGTGGGAATTTTGAAGCCAGATGCTTTGGCTTTGCCTTCTATGGTTTAATGGCAACAGCTTGTTACTGAAAACAAATGGTATCTTAAGGCTACCAGGAGAAGTGGTACAATGGTGTGTAGTATTCTGTTCTCATTTCGTCTTAACTTTCAGTTTATTGGGATAACTTTACTTAGATTGGATTGCGAAATCATGCAGTATCTTTTCATTCCATTGCCTTGCAAAACGACTGCCTGTCTTCCTATTACAATGATTACAATACTCATTTGATAAGCATTGCAAAAGTTGGTGTGTTCTAGCAGTACTTAGGGATTATAAGCCGTATGGCAAAGAAATAGTGGGTTTGTGGATAGTGTAGTTATATCCCAACTTTCTTGCAATCAGAGTATGTTAAGTTGATGCGGATACATGCAACAGCCAAAAAGGCTTAGGGTAAATGCACACTTTGACAACTCAATCGATTCAGAATCAACTTCTGAATTGATCTAAAAGCGCTTATTCATCTGTTTCTTGCTTTCGACGTGCAAGTCGTAATTTTCGAAATATTTTTATGGGAAGTTTGGCATTAAGTCTCGGAGGCAAAGATAAGCCGTACTAAAAACGGGTTGGATCGTATCATTTTTATAATCACTTCCCATATAAATTAAAAAATTAAAGAATTTTTTGCCACTTTTTATATCTCTCGACATAAAGCGTGGTAAAAGAGAACAGTTTATATGTATACATAATTGACATTTTATGACGAAAGAAAGTGAAGCAATATGGGTTATTTAATAATCAACCTTGCCAGGATGTAATTTTTTGACTTATTGTATTTTGTTTTGAATTTTGTTTTATTCTAAAACCCAGCTAGATAGGTAATACTAAAGCAGCAAGTTAAAGCATTTGGTATGGACCATTAGCAGTGTTTTCATCCAATATTAAATGACTAATATCTCTTCAACCACGTCATCTGGAATCGTATTTGTATTTAAAAACAAGCGAAAACGTCGAACAATCTTAAATCTCTTTTGAATCCAATGGCTTCTTCAAAATGGGACTTGGTATGGGGAGAGCATGCACTTTTCATGGAAGAAGATGCAAAACGTCAACTTACGGGGTACAGCTTAACTAAAGTTTGTTTTCTGAAAATGATCTTCGTTTAGTCATAAAGTACGGAAGACTAAACTTTTTTGTTTCGCATGCGAGCACTTCATGGTACTAAATTTGCTACATTGAACTTTTATCTCAAGTGTTATTCTCGACCAATTTGCGTCATAAATTATTAGTTTCTTTTGTAATATAACGGCTGGCTTTTCTTGAAAACGTTTTGAAGCCTAAGACTGTTATCTTTATATCAAATCTCTAATTTTCGCGACTGCTTCGAGAAATATTATCGATGTTTTCACTCAAAAAGAGCGCCCGCGCGTAACATTTCTAAGCTGTCTTTATTCGAAGGCGTAAACAGCTCGAGTGATTGTAATAGCAATTAGATGAGAATATCCGGTAAACTTGGAACCGAACCTTACGAAACATTAACAAATTAGTATACTCTGTCATCTAATAGGTTCGGAATCCTTGTTGAATTGCTAATGGATATTCTTTCAGGTGCTTATTTATCACTTATTAGAGAATCGGATTACTTGCATGCCTTTTTTAATATCGCAAAGCATTTGCGAGATGTTTTGAATACTGATCCCTTTGACACGATAGTTGAGAGGAATAGAGTGTGTATCCATGTAATATATTTTATTTAAAAACGAACAATGTCGATTTTTCTTAGAGAAGCGTTCTTTGATTATAACACCAAAGCTATCGTCGATGCAATGATATCAGAAGAAAGGGCGCCAGACGCGATCAATATGGATAATATTGATAATATTAAATAAAAAAAAAGGAGAGTCAGTAACCCATTTTTGCTAAGGTATGGTCTGAAGTCCAAAGCGCTTGCTATTGTACTATAATTAACTGCTGATCGTCGATACTTCTCCTGAGGGAAATATTGATCTAATCACCTGCAATTCTTTAAAATAACTCTGCGGAGAATTTTGCAACGGCATTAGCAAATGTGAAAATTTATTTTGTAAGAGTTTTACATCTATTATAGGAGTCGCATATTTTTCCAGTTTCTCCTCTAACTACCACAAACAATTACAAGAATAACAATAATAATAATAATGATTATAATAAGAGCAAAAGGAAATGAAAACTAAATTTATTATTTTTTCATTGCAGGTATTTCCCCAAAAGATTTGCCAGGAACGAGTTGTGTTGTGGTAACTAAACGAAGGCAATGATTTTAAAACCGAGTCAAGTGAATCTCCAGTAACAACAACAATAACAACTTTAGTAATAATAAAAAATAATAACAGTAGCAGAATACACCGTAAAACGGGGCAGACAGATCAACAAACGCAAACATATACGTACCTACACGGATTAAGATTTATGAACCTGCACACAAACGCATACACACACGCATACGCCCACTTACACATTCATGAACAAAACACGAAGCGCACAATATCTAAATAATATTCGTATGACACATATACAATCCATACATATGTGTAACTGGGCAAGAAAAGGGCGAGAGCTGGCCGTAGGTGGTGTACGGTGGGTACACTAAAGTACATATGTTTTGTGTAAAGAAAAGCACGAAAAAGTAGAATCAAACCGTACTGAATTCTTTAAAACCGACGGTTGTTGGATAAAATCAAATACCGAGAGATACCAACCCCCACCTGCCACACAAGTAGACACGTATTTTAAATGAAAGTTACACTAAAGTGTGTGTGCATTACGTTTTCGTTATTATTACACTTTTCATTTTCGAGTGCTTCTAGAATCGGCAAAGCACAGCAAAGCGAAACAGCAGCCACGTAAAGCAAGCAAGAGTCTGATTGTAATTGCAATAGAAAACTACAAACCCAGCAACAAATTGTTGCAATTACAACAAATACAGACAAACAAAAGACCTGAGTGAAAACAAAACCAAAAACTGAAGCACACGTAAAGAAACGAACTGGCGAGAGCTTACATAAATTTCAGGAACTAGAAAAGTTCTAAAAAAGGGTTATTTTCAACTAGAGAAGAGCAGGGCAAGAGAAAAAGAGTTAATTTCATAGCAGCCAGGCACTTGTTTTTGTGATTCAACATCTTTTAACAACGTCGTCTAGTAAAGCAACACAGCACGTTACTGTTGCTGCCGCTGCCAGTGGATTGCCATCAACATCATCATTATCGTCAGCCGCACAAGCACAATTACAACAACAGCAAGTCATTAATACAAATAAAGTTTTAACAACAGCTCACACTTATCCACAGCTTCTGCAACACCAACAGCAACAGCAAAATCCGTTACCAGCGGCAGCAGCAGCGGCCACAGCACACGCGGAAACCTCATCAACTCCAACGGCAGCCGCAGTGGCAGTAATAGCGACTACTAAACGTAGTCGCCAACAAAGACGCAGCATCAGCACTAGCACCACGAATCCACACGGTAAAGGCGGTACCACCGGCGGCGTCGCCACGACTACCAACATAAAACAGAGCGCCAGTCGTAACAGCAACATTCGCAGTTCTTCGTCCAATAGCACAATGGCCTCGTCCAATCATCGCGGCGGGGGTGGTGGTGGTGTTGGTGGTGGTGGTGGCGGTGGTGCGGCCGGTTCCGGTTTACAGGTCGGCTCAGCGTGGTTTCAACGCAAAATTAACTTACGACCACAACATCGAGGTGTTCATTTAGTCACCGAAGAGATATTGAGGCAAATGCCTGAATTGGGACAGTTTTCGGTGGGTCTATGTCACGTGCAAAGTAAGTCCATATTAGTTATATATATTGCGGTTAAGCTGGGGCAAGTCAAAAATTTTTGGTTCACTTCGACTAAATCGATTACAGAATCTCCAAGAAAAATTTGTAGGTGGCCTGTGAGAAATGCATGTTTTGTGATATATCTCGGGCAGAATAATTCTAATAGTTGGGTCAATATTTAATGATGTTAAGGGAAAAAAAAATTTATTTGCAAATTTCCATTTCAAGGATGGCGCAATCATCATAACGCTAACTTTTCGTTGCCTTCTTTAAAGAGTGATTAATCAAAGACCTTTAAGATAACCTTCAATTTTCGCAATCATTTTATTTTGGGATCTAAATCCTTTCGTTGAAATATCCGTTCGAAATTTTCAAATAGATAATAATCGCTGAGTACTAGATGGGGAGAATATGGTGCCATCGGTTCGAACCTCAATTCATCAATTAGTTGGGAAACCTTTGTTTTGACAGTGAACAAAACAAGAGAAGGATCTTTACTAAAATCGCAACAACTCGTAAACAAGTGATTGAAATCACATGAAATTATCATGCACGTCATTTGAGGATAGGCACTTTTTAGAAAGAGTATAAGGTTTTTTTTCATAAATGATCCCTATACACAAGTCCGGGAAATTATTGATCAACGTTAAATCATTGGTTAAAGTCGCATTTAATAACGTAGCTGAAGTGCACGTCGCTCAAACTCAATTAAGCACAATTAATTGAGTTTTCTACAAAAAGTCATTTATATGATTAATCCTTTGTAGAATGGTTATTCCGAGATCCCGTTGAAGTATGGAAAATCAGTAATATCTACGCTGTCGCGCATTATTATATCAGCCTATCCTCTCACTACTATTCTACGTTTTCTCATAATTTAAACTCTAGATCAACATAAATGTATCCTCTTATTAAACCTTTTTCGAGTAAATATACAACGAGTGCAGAAATACTTAATTTCTTGAAAAATTGGAAAGTGCCCACATCTTAATGTGCCCCATACGAACAGAGATCCGTTCTTCTTTACCTTGTTATTTAAAAAAATAGTCGGTGAATTCCGTAACCTTCTGTGCGAACTGAATTATTTGACTAATGGTTATGATGGCATTTATAGTGAGTTTACAAAAAAGGCTGAAGATTGTAATTTGTACGCATTTTTGTGGTTGGTTATGTCATTTGTGGGGTTAGATTACAATACTTCCGAATGGATTAGCATCATAAATAATGATCAGAATTTACTAAAAGTATTATCCGTTTCAATCGTGATTCGTTGTAAGTCGAATACAAAATCTGCCTCCTTTTAATTTGAAGTCTTTTCAATGACCAAGGAGGTCGTCTAAGTTCTGCAAACACATGTACAAAACACGTAATATACGATATTATAGTCAATACATTGGCTAGCCATGGTAGTATAAAAAATGATTTCGTATATAATTGAGCAGAAAATTGGATAAAACACAATAAATACTTAAGAAAGCCATACATCATAAGTTAATAGATGGTTATTATATCATTTATATATATATATGAACAAGTGTAGTTTAAGAGTATGTATTGACCCAAAAAAAAAAAAAAAAAAATTCAACTGAAGTCTATTCACATATACACGTACAAATATTGCTATTGCATACACTTAGAGTACATACCTACAAGTACATAGCAAACAAATCATATTACCTGACAAACACAAATCACAGCCATGCAGGTGACATTTCATTATCGATTTGCAGACAATAAAAAAAGAAGGAAAATGAGAAAAAATAGTGAAATAAATTTTTCCTTTAATATTTAAATCGAATCTTGGATACCCTTGCTGGCATTAACCCATAGAAAGGAAGTGCTTGAGTAATTTTGCGAATTTACAAAAAATTTTATGTGTCTAGGGAAAATCGACGTCTTCTAGAAGAATGCATGCATATAAAATGCAGAGAATAAACAGGGGAGGAAGGTTTCATAGGCTTTGCAGCCGCTCGTGGATAATTACTATCTAACAAAAGTAAGCCCAAAGTAATTTTATGAAGTACGGCCAGATCAATCGGCAGTGACCTTTTTAAGTAGTTTAATTATTATGTAGGATTGTTTAACAGCGAACGACATTTATTCTCAAATCCCGCCTTTGACTATCATGTAAATTATATATAATAGTGGATGAAAAATTGTTAAATGTTCGCTTTTTATCTCAAGTTTTATGAATTTGGGATTTTCCACAAAAGAAAGCCAACACCTGGCTTTGCTCGAGAATACATGTACTCTACAAGATCTCCGATAAATATATCTCGCCTTTATAACCAGAACAACAATTTTAGCAAACCCACGTTCTTCCTTTTGTGACGCACATGATAAGTACATATAAATCTTGGAATTCAATTCAGGTTTTTTTCAAATGTTTTTATCTCTTTCTCGGCAAATTCGTAGCTAGGTAAACCATCAAATGTAGAACATTTTTGAATTGACATAATTCTTGAAATTACTCATTATTTATAAAGTTGTGAATGTGTATCAAAGTTTGTTGAGGACATTTTACTCCTCCTTTAGCAGTTGTTTTTTGCTAAATATATATAGACTGCTATCAAAATAATGTTTTGAAAATTTCATTATTCCTTCGAGATTATTACTATGGCTATAAAAAAATATCTAAGAGTGTATTTTAGTTTCTTTTAAAGTTTACAATTCGTCTACGGATGTAATGCAACATTTTTTAATATTTTTTTGTAGTTTAAGATTTTATTAAGAGTTGCCAGAGATGGATAAACCCACTGTGAGATAAAAATATTCAAGAACATCCATCTTGGATTTATCGACATAAATTACATAAACTACAATAATTTCAGAAATAGCGATTAGCAGTTACTAGCATATATGGACGAAGGCTAAAAGTCTAAATGATTGCTTGGCCTTTCATATTGCCTTGCATACTATATTTTCGTGTTTTGAAATCTTCTCCGTAAAATAGTTGCAAATATAATAAAGAAGAATAAAAAAAATGTCTTGCTGTATAACAAAACAAGAGAATGGTGGTTGATATCGGAGCGTTGTTAATGCAAATGTTTGCAGTCGTCTTCATGTTAAATGTCATTGGAAATCTACTTCTTGCTGTCAATATGACGTTAATAATGTAAACGAATTTCTAAGAATTTCTTTGCACTTCTGCTTAATGCATGTAATAGAAAATATTTCACAAGCTGTGCTGTAGAGTGGCCGACAAAGTTAACTTTCGATTAAAGTGGTATTTAGCAGTTAATCGAAAAATAAGAATGAATTGAGCATTTATCTGTCTTTTTTGTTCAACGATTTCTCCAACTGTTCAAAATATGCTTCAGTTTCGGTCATCACCCCTTTATTAGTGCCTCTTGTCTTTCCGGAGACTATTTTTTCGAATAGTCGATATCGCCGAAAACTAAATTTGGAGAATGCGGTGGACCTGGAATTAGCTCTTGGTGCAATTTGTGCAACTATGCCAATGTTTTGGTCAAATTGTAACATGACGCATTGTCTGTATGAAAGAGCGGTTTTCCTTCTTCATTTGGGTCCGATTTTTGCAATTTTGTCACTCAAGCACGCTAATAATGGTATGTAATATACACTATTGACCCCCTGTCACTTTCCAAGATAATCGATGAATATTATACCATGCGCGTGCCAAAAAGCGAACGTCACTTTTGCACTTTTGGTGCCTTTGGACGGTTTTCACCGGTCAATCGTTCACTTGGCTGCCTGGTGATTTGACGCTGGAATGTAGTGATAAAGCCATGCTTCAATCTGATTATCAACATGTTGTTTGATCGAAAGTGAGAAAACGCGATAACCACGAGCAAATTTTTTTCATACATACACATAAAATAGTAAACACAGTGTCGTCTAATATCACTTAGACGTCACTTATTTTATGCAACTTCATTTTTCCATTGAGCATTCGGGCAATCAAAGCGTTCAGCATCATTAGTTCTTGTACGGCCGATTTAAAATCAGTAAAGTACTTCTCTACCATTTGTCCCGACGGAAGAGAGTTCAAACAACACTTATCAAGCCATTCCCCATTAAAAAGCAATGCATTATCAATACACTAAATTCAAACTTTTCCATTGTTTTAGAAATTACAAAAGTAGCGTGACGAAAACCACTTGTTCTCGAAACATCATAAAATGTTGACACCTTTCGTTTGATGATCGGCACTATTTAAAATCAAATTAGTTTGTCAATCCTGTCCAATGTCTGCAAGACGTCCTATGAACTTATTGAGTAAAGTGTTATCTATTTCCGTTAAGTCATAAGAAATCCGTATCCTCCACCCGGAATTCCTTCCGATCACCGTCTAGCCGACAAGCACGGATATATGGCTGGACAAACATAAAAAAACTTGTTTTCAGCGATAAGACCAAACCGTAACTTCTCTAACAAGCATTTAACAAGCGAGATTAACTTATATATCCAAGCTAGCACGCTTATCTAATATGGTTTAGTAAACAAATCTTCTTATATTAGTTTGGAATGCCGTTATACGGATAAAAATTAACTGATTTGATAGGTGGTAGAAAAGCATCCCTTTCCTCAGCATTAGTGAAGTGCAGGCGGTCGAGAAAATCTTCCCGTCGGAACTATTTTCAATACCGTCCGTCCTCAAGCCAAAACACGTCAGTATACGAAAGCCAACAAGACGGATAGACGGAGAAACAAGTTTAGATCTGTCCAGAAAGTCATTCTGTATCGATCGGTATAATAAAGGGTGAGTCTATTTCAAGTTTAAACAACACACATAACCTAATACCACGTGGGGTGTAGGGCACAACAAGCAGACGGAAATATTTAATTAAATTTTCATTTTATTAAATTAAATTAAAAGTTTTGTTTTACTTATAGCTTGAAATAGAATAAAAGTTTTTAAACCAAATTTGCTTTCCAATAAATAATATGTCTATTGGCGAGTTGTTTAGGGATAGAGAAAAGAAAAAGCCATTTATCTATATATCAGCAGGCACGTTCAAGTACAAACAATTATACGTCAG